AGTCCCTCGCCTATCGCCGGGACTCTGGGTGTCGGCGCTGGCTCTACTCCCAGGAGTCCTCCACTCATCACCAGGACTCTGGATGTCGGCATGAACCCTATTATCCCCACCACCTCCTGAATGACGACCTGGGTTCGGAGAGACGTTCCCGCTATCGCGGATTGGCCTATCAAAATTCGGAGAGACGCTCCCGCTATCGCGGATCGGCCTCTCCCCCCTCGGTTGTCGACTCCGGGCCTCAGATCCCCTATCGGGGACGGCAGCAGGCCTCGGGCTCCTATTCCTACCCGCATCCCTATTGGGGGAAATAGAAACGTCCCCCCTTGCGCGCGCGCGGGGACCACCCCTTGCACGCTCCGGTGGCGAATGCGACCTGTCAGGCAACCCCCGAACCCTCCTGCTCCTGCTGTCGGACCTCTCCCTAACGGGATAGATGGGATGCCTGTCTGCGCGAGAAGGATCGACCCTATCGGGCACATTCGGCAAAACATGATCAGGCAAAATAACGCCTTCGCCTGGTCTTACCGGCAGGCCAGTACCCCGGCCGTCACCCTCCCCTGGTGTAGGCGTCGGTGACCTGATCCTATGTCCTTGCCCCGCAAACGCATGGTAACCAACATTCCGTCTTTCTCTGGGTTGTGGAGGAGCTTCATTAATCTGCTGGACACCCTGAAGCATGCCAGCAGCCTCGTCAAATTGACCCTCCATTTCAAAGAGCTGGGACATGATTCTGTTGTTCGCGGCGCTAAGGTTACGCACGTTACCATCGATAGCGCTGACTCTCCGCATTACACCTTCAAGTGTACTCCGGAATGTGCCGAGCTCTCGCCTAACGGCAGGCTGCACTTGGTCACTGCTGGCAGGAAGATTACGGATCTGCCCTTGGATGCCATCAACGACCCGATTCACAATTGCCGATCTCGCTTCATACTGTTCAACATGTGACTTCACGGTTTCAAACCTCGAAATGATGTCGTCATGATCCCGACGTTGACGTTGAATTCCTCGAGCCAGATCATGCATCTTCCGATTGATCTCGTCAACAGCCTCATGCCAGTCCTGCGGGGAATCATGCCCTGATGGTCTATCGACCTCCTGAGAACCCCTTCCACTCTGCAGTCTAGACACTCGATTAACAAGACGAGTGTGCTCTTCTTTGACCCCTTCAATAGATTCAGAGGCCCACTTAGCAAACTTCTCGTGTTCAAGGAGAGCTTCCTCAATCTTCAGGTTTAACTCCCTGAAATTCGCGTCAACCACACTGCTGCTGGCCCTATCGGACAGATTCGCGACAGGATTCGGGTTCCATACACCTGCCGGTGTCCGCATCCCAACGGTTTTCTCTACCGAGAACATCCGTTTCTCAAGCTTGTCCAAATCCTTAAGGGTCTCGTCCTCAGAAGCAGCATGGCTTCTGCGGGCAGCCTCACTATTTTCCTGAATCATCAGGCGAAGCCGATCAGTCGATGCCTCATTGTCCCTGACAGATTCATGGACCTCGTGGGACAGTAGGTTAATCCTCTGCTCTACGACCTCGGCTTGCTCATCGATGGCTTGCTTCACAATGGCCTTGCTATCGGGAATAACTTCCCTTGCGAACCGTTGAACTATCATTCGCATCCTCCCGGCATCAGATTGTGTCGCAACCTCAGCTGCCAAGCGATCGACCTTGTCCTTTGTCCGTTGACTCTCGTCGCTCCATTCCCTTCGCATGGAACTCACCTGACCGTTCAGTACCCTGATTTGGTCAGCAAAGATGTGGAACGCCTTCGCGACTGAGCCGGAAACCTCACCTCTCTCGAGCATCTCCTGGATGTGCAAATCGAACACCTCCTTCGCCCTAGCGTCAGCTGATTCGCCGGAAGACTGGGATCTGAGGGCGGGAGGAGTCGATATCTCGATCCTCTCAGGAGCCCCACTAGCCCCGGCATGTCTTCCGAGGTCATCCACGGGACAATCATCAATCCTGGATGGTCTACTCGGGGTAGATCCCCTTCTCCGGCTATCGCCAGATCGAGGATCAATGTTGGATGCACGTGACTCGGGGGTGGAGTGGATGTGAACATCAGCGGGATCGGGCATCTCCTCATCCTGCGGAGTTGAATCCATTGGTGAGGGGCTAGCCCTCCTCGCCTTTGATCTATCGGTCTCAGCGGCGAGAGGTGGCGGTCTCTTTGCAGAAACACTACGTTCCCTGGCAGTCGAACCCCATTGAGGTGTGAACTCGTTGCTTGACCTCAGAGTTTCAAGATCACTGGTATCTCGCCCTAACGGGCTAGCGATCGACGGACGATCTTCGATCCCGAGTGCATCGGCAAGCCGACCATCTCTGGCACCTGTCCTAACAACATCGGCAGCCCGCTCAGTGATCCTCGGTGAACCAGTAACCCGGTTCGACCTCACGTCTCTCTGACTCAACGGACCTCCAAATGTGATGTTGGGAAAGGGGGGAACATTCGGGGAATCACCAATAGCCGGGGGACCTACCGGTCCCTCGCGGTCATGAATGGCCTCCAATCCCCGAAGAACTTCCCGACTTTCCCTGGCTCTCTCTCTCTCGCTTCTGGCGTCCCTGTCAACACGAAGGTCCCTGACGGCTCCACGAGAGAGGCTCCTGGGCCTCGCAGCATCACGGATCCTAGCATTTCGTCGTGGTTGGTCCTCCTCCTCATCACGGCGATCCGCAAACGCGGCATACTCATCATCATCATCGACCTCAAACTTGGCAGCGGCGGGATTAGTCCTTGCAGTCTCACGGCTGCCTGCATCTCGGCGCGAATGGCTCTCCTCCTCATCCGCAAAATTGTAATCTTCGCCATCATAAGACTCAGATTTGGCAGTATTAGGGTTGGGCCTACCGGCATCAGGCCCCTGCTTTGAGCTACTGCCCCAACCTGCGGTTGATCTCAACAGATCATCGTATCCGAAGTCCGTGAATTTCCGCTCCTCGTGCTCATCAAACTGACCTGGATTCTGAGAACCAGTGGATCGGCCCGGGATACCTCCCGGAACCAGAACCATAGTTCCTGGTCCCTGCGGCCTACTCTCAAACTCATCCGAGACCTGCGACTCACCTGGAACAAGAGATCTCGGAGGTCGAATCGGCATGGCCTCCGGGTCATCCGAATGAGGGCGGGCCATGTCCATCGCCATGCTGGTGAAGTCAAAATGTCCACGCCTGTGACCTGATTCAGAGCCACTCCTACCGGAGTAAACCCTTCGTGTCTGCTCGTCATCAGTGGCCTGGCGGAAAATACGATCGTCTCCATCGTCGGCGTACCTGCCACGGCTCCTGGGTGTATCCCTACCGGGATCTTCACCCCTGCGGTCCTGACCTGTCGAACCTGCTTCGAAATCCTCGTAGTCATAGTCCGGTAGGTCCTCACCTGAGCGGAGGCCACCTAGGATGGCCTCCTCATCCACGACGCTCCTTCGAGATCGTGGGGTCGACATAGAGCTTGTAGTTGATGGTCTCAAGCGCGTAGGAAAGTCCTACGGCTGATAACCTGTGATTCGGGCACGAGCCTGTGCCCAGGCAATGGGTAAGTTGGGGTAAACAAGCCACAAAAGAAAGGTTCCCCAAAAGCAAACCAATCCCCGGTCCCAAAGATCAGGGTTTCCCACACACCAGAGAACAACAACCAAAAGGAAACAAACCAAACAAGAAAAGGGTTAACCCGCAACCTTGGTCGACAACAGGCCGCACGACTGGTCCCTACCAACCTGGCGGCGGCCCGAGGTCTCTTTCTCCCCCGAGATGCCGTCGGTCGACGCAGGGGTTCGGCGACGCCCATTCGAGGCGCGACGGAACCCAAAATCTTGAGCCAAACACCACAGGTCAGTCACTACCGCGACATCCCTGGTGATGAAATAAACCATGGCTAATCACACCTCTAAACATATTTGAGCCGTTTCAAGTTTAAACAGCTTCATGTTTAAACGTGTGTGACCCGACCCTGGGCCTGGTGTGGCTAAGAAGCAAAAGCGTGCAAGAAAGCGCCCTGCAGTGCCCTGCAAGTTCACCGAATCACAATCAAGCGCTCTTCTTTGAAGCCGGGGCTTCCAAGAAGATCGAACTCCGCTTGGGCATCCCAATGGTGAGGAGTATGTCGGCCCCTGTGGCATCGAGAGCGGGAGTGGCGCCCTGGAAACAGCCGCAGTTCGGCTGTTCCAAGCCAGTTTGCTGAACCCATGGCGCAAAGGAGCAAGTTGCTCCCCATTCTGCAACATCCTCAAGCCCACGGTCCACGAATAGACCACCTCCATCCTTAGAGTTCACCAAGGCAGCTTGATCCACCCGACGAAGCACTTGCTGGTCTCCGCAAGGCGGATAGGTGAAGGGCCCAGGCATCAGAACTCTGGCCTCTTGCAGGTCATAGGGAATCTCCAAATAGTGGCTTCTTCTACTCCAAAGCAATCTGAAACGGCCAAGAGACCATCGCCACAGCCTTCTCCGCAGAATCTATGCGAGCCACAAGTGTCGCACTCAAGTCGCCTCCAACGGACTGATGCAGCTGCAGCCTTTCCCGGACTGATTCTCTGCTGTTGACTGCATTGAAAGCGCCCGGGGGCCAAACATCACTGCAGCGACTCCGAAGGCCCTGCTTCAGCCGTCAGCTCGTTGCAGGTGCCAACATGCTGGATCGGGCTGCCCTCGTCCATCAAGAAAGGGCAAGACGCAATGACCAGGCATGCCGAAGACGTGCTCAACGTTCAAGTCGCACAAGCGGGAGATCAAGAAGGACGACACGCTCCGTGCCATGATTTTATGGGAAGAAACGGCAAATGCTTCTTCAGGGCAAAAGCTTGAGCCCATGCATCGTGTTGGCCATGCATCCAGGGTTCTCAGCGGAAACATGGGCTAAACCTGCGGTCGCCTCGCAGACCCATACCCATATGGCCCTATGGCCCACGTTGCGATTCCCCCCCGTTACGATTCTTCCGCCGCCCGAAGCCCAGCCGTCCAAGTTGTCCAAGTTGTCCGAGTCCGAGGTCCGGGCGCTGGCTCTCGGCGAGGATCCGCCGCGTGGCCGCGGACTCTTGCTGCGCCCAGCCCATGCCGCCCAAGCGCAGCAGCTCCAGGCGCGCCTCCTGCCACGCCACGCCGCGCGCGAAGAGAGGGGAGACAGAAAAAAAAAGCGAGGCGCTGAGGTCCTGGGAGTTTTTGTGGGTACAGAGGGAGTAAAAAACCAAAAGTCAATTGCGCGATCTTTGGAGAAGAGGGGAAAACGACTTAAGATGCATTGAACCATTGAAATGAGTAGGATGACCCCAGAAAGCCCTCGGACCAACCAACACCCAGTGCTTCACTCCCCGGAGACTCCTCGGTGAGCTGCACGTCGCTGGGCCAGCCGATGATGTAGCGGTCCACCAGCAGCTGCAAAGAAACGAAGCCGCGACTCATGTACACGAAAGCCTGGCCGAAGAGTCCAAAAGATCGAAAGATCGAATAAAAATGCTAACCTCGCAGACGACCTCGTGCCCTGACCCTGTGACCCTGTGACCCTGTGACCCTGTGACCCTGTGACCCTGTCGCCTCGTTCTGCTTCAGGCCCAGATCCAGTGGCCGAGTGTTGGGAACGCGCGTGAAGATCTGAGTGCCTCAGATGCATTTGCAAAGGAAGCAAACCAGCCACTGAAACCTCACAGGCTTGCAAGTACGTCACTCAGGGAGCTCATCTCGGTTTCTTTTGCCGCGTTCCCACAAGCCAAGCGCCTGCAGAGACGTTGAGCCGGATGCTGTAGGCCTTGGGACTTGAGGATCCAAGCGGGGGTTCAAATGTCCTGGAAAAACCTCCCCCTTCGGGAAACTAACAAGGCTCCCTTGACGGGTGCCTTTGCTCTCGAGGTGATTTCCATAGGGCTCCCTCATCTTGAAGCAAAAGACCTACCAACTATGCTGTCCCCCTTCGCCGTGCCCAGGTGCGTCAGGCACCCAAATCTAACATCTTGCAAGCCGCCTGAAGTGTCTCCCTTTCGACATTCAACTTCGGGCTCAAGGTCAAACCCGACAAAATCATTCTGTCGCTGACATTTGGCTCCTCCTTTCAATGTTCGCCCCGGGCTAACCAAACGGAGCCGGCGCCGGCGCCGAAACCGCCGGAGTGAGCGGAGTGAGCGGATCAGTCAGCCAGCCGGGCGGCCCAGTCGCCGGGGGCGCCCAGCTCCCCCTGGCCCGGCACTTTGTGGAAGACCAGCGCCCCGAATAGCCGGGCCTCGGATGGACCGATGGGCCGATGGGCCGATGGGCCGATGACCCGAGGGCTTCGAAGACGCGAGGCTTTGGCTCAAGGAAGGTTTCGACTCAAAGAAGATCGGTCAAGGTGGTGCTTTGCGTAATATTTCAGGTGCTCCGCTCGTTTGGCTTGCGAAGTGCTGTTTTGGCCCGAACAAGGGGGCGGTGATGAGGGCTGCCCAGGTTCAAATCTCGCGCAACAGAGCAGGGCATTTCAACGCACTACTCAAGATTCGAGACAATTTGGCGAGTGTGGCCCGCTCTCGCGATGAACCTCCACCAAAGGGCGGTGTCCGCACTGTCCAAGTATGTGTCCAGCTCCGCAGCGGTGAAGATCTTGGGGTGGGTCAAGTTGGCGAAGCCTGGCACCAAGTCAAAGACGAACTTCAGGCCACCCCCAACACCCCTTCCAATCCCCCCAACTGTCCGCCTGGCAGGACTCCAGGATTCACCTTCTTCTTCTGGCCTGAGGCTTCCGGCTTGGGCTTCCGGACTCACCCGAAGTCGCTCGTTCCCATCGGCCTATCGCGTCGACAACGAGCGGTTCAGCCAAGAGGCACGCCAGAGTGGTGCGATTCTCCTCCAAATGTCGCGCCCTCTCGGTGAGTTGCTTGCCAGCTGAGCTTCCCACCGCCTTTCCCATCACCGAGCTCGAGATCTTCCCGAGCAAATCGCGCTCCAAAGGCACACAGGGGATGTTCCTGGCACAAGCCAGAAGTGGAGCAGCTGACACAATTCGACGCCACACCCATGTCATGTAATCGGGTGAGTCCGGAACGGTCAAGGCCTACATCCCCTTCAGAACTTCAGGCCTCAAGGTCAGGTCAGGAAACCACTCGGCCGTGATGGTGTCACCTCAGCAAGTAACACGAGTGGCACGTAGCGATTGTGCAATGCAAGCACCGGCCCAGTCTGGCAGTTTGGTGTGAAAGGCAGGTTCTTGACCGCGTATGGTGATTGGTGGCTTCCTCCGAAACCTAGCGTGACTTGCCAATGGCTCTTTTGCGGAGCAATGGGAGAAATTGGGACAGTCCCGCCCGTGTCCACACAAAATGATCCCGCTCCACCCGTGGCTTTTTGTAAGTTCACATCCACCCTTGGCCAAGCCGCGAAATCGCTCCACCTTTGCCGAGTCTTCAGGATGCTCTACTGCAAGTGCCAGTCGCTCGCCAGACCAGTGAAGGTAGGACAGCACGGTGACAGGGTCCCTTGGTGGCACCGTGTGCCGTGCAGTGCCCAATCTGCTAACCTATCTCTGCAAGACAAGTATCCTATTTGATTCCTTCGAGGTTTCCTGTCCCAACCTTGTGGCCCAATGCTGGCGCGACTCCGGGGCGTCAAGTAATACTTGGTCCAGAGGTTGCAGTAGGATCTCATCAGCCAGCTGCCAGCGTCGTCCTCCAGCGGCAGGCCTTTCGTCCCAGGTGCAGGGATGCACGGATGTGCTGCTTTTCACAGAGAAAAAGGAAACACGAAGCCAGCCGCCAGAAGCAAGAAAGCGAATGCAAGCGAAACATGCAAAAACACATGGAGGAAGCCAGACGATACAGGAGAAACAACCAGAGAACGTATTCTTGGCCTCACGCCCGCCTTCTTGGCATGTGGTGCTCTTCATCGTCTTGGGCATGCGGCCACCCCAGCCCTCCAGGATGGGGATCTGACACTGTCCGTTGCCTTGATCGAAGCCCAAGGAAAACGAAGCCGCGAAGCCAACGTCGCAACATAGCCAGGAGTGAGACTTCAATCCTTTCAGTTGGGCGTCATGCTCCAAATGGTCGGGTCCCATGTTTACGGAAATCGAACATGTCGCTTCATGCACATACCAAAATCAGCCAGGTGGTATCCCCAACAGCCACAGAACCCACCGCAGAGACCCCATAGCTTCCAGCTGTTGAGAACATCGCTGCAAACGGGAATGTGTTCAGGAAGCAACCGCTTCCGTGCAATGATCAACACAACGTCGCTGGCGGATTTTCAGCACACGAGGCGGTGCAGTCGGACCCGAAGAAGTTTTCATGGGAACTTCCGGGGGCCCGGGCTGGCGCACTCGGATTTGGCCCACCACAGCAGGGCCAAGACCGCGAGGGGCAGCAGCAGCTCGCAGCAGGCCGCGAAGGGGCACCTCTCGACTCGAGGCAAAGGACGTCATTGGGACCGGTCGGACGTTCGGTCCCTCTATGTTGAAGTTCCTGGAAAAGGAATGATGAGTTGCATTATAATGCAATGGCTTTCTGGGGCAAAGCCTTCCGGCTCGGGGCCAAGCTGCCATGGGCAGCACTGGGCAGACCACTCGCGCTTCTTCAGCAGCAAGTTCCTGGATGCAACACTGCCAGCGAGACTCTCCCGACCCGTGGCCTTGTGCCCTTGATGCAAACAACTGACTCAACCGGACGGAGGCCAAAGAAATTTGGACCAAGACTCTTCCGCATCAGTGCACGGAAGTGATGCCCATTCGCCCTCCGAAGATTGCCCTCAGCATGGCCTTGGACCGTCCGGAGCTGACCGAGAGGATAGCAAACAACTTAACATGGAGAGAAAAACCTAGTACGGATCCGTATACTTTGATTCGAGTTGGGACATGTCTGTGAGCTCGTACAAAACAAAGTCGGGGGCTTCCGGGCTTCCTGCCTGGCTCCACCAATGCAACGGTGCGATCGCGATCGCCCATCATGAGTCTGCCTGAGGTGTCAGTGTATTGGTGTCAGTGTGTTGTTGGCGTCTTGCTGTCTGGGTGTCACTGCCTTGTGCGTCTCTGCGCTTGTGTGTGTGTGTGTGTCTGCGTGCACCTCCATGTGCGTGTGTGTTATCCGTTAAACCGTTATCCTGCTTTCGGTTCGGTCATCGTATGCAGGCCCTCTCAGTGGCTTGCACTTCAATAACTTGAGCAAAAGCTGGCACCGAACTGCTCACATCACTATGTCACTATGTGTCCAAAGCACGCGCCTAAGGATTGCAAACGCGCCCCATGCCGATTGCTCCCACCTGGCTCGGTGTCAAAGCGCCACGCGTAGGCGCGGCAGGTGACTCGGGGGTCCCGCAGCTTCCTCGGGTTGAAATCGTCGACGCAAAGAAACCTACGTCTTTTGGTCAAAACCGGTGGCGGATCCTTGCAGCGGCTCTTTCAAAGGAAAGCAGGACGAAAAAGGCTCTCCCCGTCTTGCAGCTTTGTCAAGGCTTTGTCCCGTCTATTCATCAAAAAAAAAAGAACTCCAAGTCTTCAGGTTGCCGCAGAGGGATCTGCATTCTGAGATGTACCGCCAGGGGCGTTCCCAACAGGAAGAGCTCGAGAAACCGTCTGTAAGGGTAGGCAGACCTTCTCCTCTGGACAGGCCTCTTGCCTCCTCTTGCCTCTTGCCTCATCTTGCCTCATCTTGCCTCGTCGGCTCGTCGGGGCTTCGGGGCCCCGGGCGGCGGGGCCTGGCGCGCCCTGCGCCACATCTGCCGCGCCGCCGGGGCTTCGCCCCGCGCCGCGTGCCACGCGGCGAGGTCCACCAGCACCTCACGGCGCGCGGCGCGTCGCGGCGCGTCGCGGCGCGTCACGGCGCAACACAAAGCGAAACAAAAATCCTTACGTCCTTACATTATACACCTGAACATTGCCTTGTAAATGCTGGTGTCCCTTTCTGTTGCTAGAAAATGCCATGTTTCAAATGGCCAAAATGTATCTTTTGAGGAGCCCTGCGAAAGTTTGCCGAAATTATCTCGTGCGCAACAAACAGACTTGTTGCAATAGCACAAACGCTGTCGAGCCACGAGCTTTGGCTTCCAAACAACAAGTGCCACTTGGAAGAAGGAGTCCCTCCCCATACAAATCTAAGATACCCCGTGGTGATCGGACGCGCCACCCTTACAGTTGCATTGGCCGAGCCCAGGACGGCCCACAGGCCGGGCGCGGGCGCGTCCGCAGAGTTTGCTGCCTGGCAGCGTCTCAAAGTGGGGGGAGCCACTAGTCCACATACCTCTCAGGTTTGAAGCCACGGCTGGCAACCAATCTGACTGAAGGTGGGTGGGCGCGCAGTGCTCTTTGCCATCAGAGAACATCCCCCTGAAGAGTCACAAACAGCCGCAACTGCACATCGAACGAAATCACCTCTAGGAAGTCAAAGTGAACGAAGTGAACGCAGAACAAGACGTGACTACGACCCATGCTGGCCCAAGAAATGGATCAAACCTGTCGCAACTTCGCATGAGGAATCAGGCCAATTTGGGTCACAAGTTCACACAATTTCAGGAATATCGGCTGGACATGTTGACAAAGCCGTCGGCTTTGTTTGGCAATGCCTGCGAAAGCTGAGAACAAATGAAGTCGGCTATCCTCAGCTGCACCATTTTCCTCTCCACATGAGCCAAACTCGAAACGCAGGTTAGAAATAGAAAGTATGGCAACTGAAAACATGAAAATGCTTCAGGCTGCTTCAGGAAACACATCAACTATGTTCATGGTAGAGATCGCATGTTAACAAACTGTTCTCCGCCTTTGGTTCAATGCACACAGAGCGACTGGGCGCGGGGCTTTTCCAACTGCAGCGAGCGGCACACCTGGCTCATGGAAACCCGGCTTGGCTTGCCCGGCTTGGGTACAAAAAAACAGGAACCCCTCGACTGCTTGACCGGCCCAATGGATTGCAGGCCCAATGGCCCCGTATTTACCGGGAAGCCCGCGTGTGGGTCACCGGAGTGGGATCGCCTGGAAGGAGACGCTTAACTCGGATGGCTTCTCCAAGAGCAACCAGATTGACGCAGATGTTCAAAATCCTCTCCGCTCAAGAGTCTCAACTCTCGAAATGGGAAATGGAACATCCAAACATCTCTCTCCAGCCATGCCTGAATTGCCCTGTTGCCGGTTTGGGGACGGATTCGCCTCCAACAGCTCGAAGGCCAGCAACGGGCTGCAGACTAAGACCGGCCTGGCACCAAAAGACAAAAATCAAAAGGCCAAGAACCGATGCTCCTGATGCTCCTGATGCTGCTGGGGCGGAGAGTCAAGAGAAACGCATCTCGGTACGCACCCGTCAAGTCATGTGACGATCGAGGCCGAAGACCTGTTTTTAAGCATGTTCAACGGAATGACGACAAAATCTGCATCTGCCCATGTGAGTGATCGGAGAATTGCCTGGAGTCCTGAGAGTATGTGCCTCTGAGTTTGATTTCATTCGAGTATTCTCTGCAACTCAGGCGAATTTACGAGTACAGACTTGGACAATCTTCAAGTACCCTCTTAATTGGTGGCTTGGATTGGTGGTTTCGGGATTTGAACTCCCTACCTTTTGAAACCACATCGGAAACCACATCGGTCGGGCGCCCCCTAAGGTCCAAACCCCCCAAACCAAACCACCAACCAAAGGCAACGTTAAATCTGAAACTGATGGGGTAAAGATGCATTCCTTTGGGCAGAAAGAGCCTCTAGCCTGGGAGATTCAGCAAACATCTGAGCCAACAGGAGAAAACAAACTGGCTTGGCCTCTTCGCTCTCAGACAAGTGAAAACGCCTCTTCAGCTGCCAAAGCATCACCTCGAAGTCCAAGACCTCGGCTCGGCCTCAGACAAGACACATCTTTGGGGCGGAATCCCAAAGAAGGACCAACTCAACAACACCTTGTCTTGGAGCAGTTGGCATTTGGTGCTTCATGTTGTTTGCTGTCACCTGGGTGACGAGGCAGTTGGCAGAGCGGGGATTTCGCTTTGGAACTCAGCAGGGCTGAAGCAAGCTTGCCATCGCTGTGAGATATGTGCAAGGTGCCGTTTTGCCGTCGGCCGTCAAGGCGCTCCAACGTTCCCCAACCGCCCGAGACTAGGCGCGGGGCCGGCCTCGCTGGCCAGCAGCTGCCGGGCGCAGCGCAGCGCCGCGCGCAGCTGCAGCCGGGGCGGCAGCGACTCCGCGAGCAGCGCCCGGGGCCTCGGACGCTGTGCGTAGCATTCCGCCAGCTCTTTGCCCCAGGGTTCAGGGTGGCTCAAACATGTTGACGACCGATTGTTCTTCACCCATCCTCAGTTTTTGTTCGAGTTCTCCGCAGAAGTCGAGGGCCGTTTTCGAGGGAAGCCGGAGGACGCGTCCTTCGGACGCGTCGGACGCGGATGCCTGTCTGATGCCTTCTGATCAATGACCACTGGTCCTTTCAGTGAGGACCCCGTTGATGGGAATACCCTGCTTCCAACGTGGAAGTGGACAGGTGCTTGGACTACGTTTAGAAGGGTCTACTTTCCACTGCCATGCATCTCACAGTAGTTGTAACAAGGCAGTTGTCCAAAGCTAGGCAACCCTGCATCCCTGTTGCGCCTGAAGAATCATATCCCTGCCATGGGCAAAGCCACAAGAGAAGGAAAGTCCTTGGCATTCCGTCGGGATGGCCAGTGGCACTGGGCGCCTGGCAGAAGTTCCTCCTCGGCAGGGGAAAGCACCTCAGCCCCGGGAAAATGGAGCAGGCCGAATGAAAAGGGCGGTTTGCCCTCCCAATGGGTACCCTCCCGAAAAAAACACCAAAGGGAAAGCCTTGATTCACAACCTTCAGAAGAAAAAAATAACGGCGCATGCCCACGCATTGCAGCCCAGGAACCGACGCAGAGAGGATGGCTTCAATCGTGGATTGGAGTTGTTGCTTATCATCATTGCCTGGCGGCAGCTGCCGCACTAGCACACAAGCTGGGAGGCAAAGAGATGCACGCACAACATCGAAAATGTTGCGCACCTTGTTTCATGGCACGATGCCGCTATGTGGCATATGCGCCTGTGGTCCAGTGCTATCATTTGGGACCTGAATGGAATGCATCAGCATTCTGTCTTGAGCTGCCTTGATTGTTTTGATAGGTCTCGCAACTATGAGCCACTCTGCGGCAAAGGGGCCACCGCGAGCACAACCAGTGAAGCCCGCGCGGCCGTCTTTCTCTCCAAACGCCTCCTCCACCCTCCAGATCAGAAATGGGAACTCGAGCAGCAAACACGTCTTTTGGGAAAACAATATTTCCCATCTGTAAATGTTCAAGCAAGCGAAAATGAGCTCCCAGCCAACGGCACTAAGCATGGGCAGCGTGCGCAACAGCGAGAACTTAAACAGGGCGGAAGGGTCTTCGAGCGCAATGGCGAAGAACCAAGGGGTTCACGGAGGTTCACCAAGGGAACCCGGCGAGAAGGGCGGAGCTTGGATCACTTCACATTACAGCTCCGAGGGATGACTCGCAAAGGATTCGGAAGCTTCTCTGGTGCCGGAAGAAGATGCCAGTTTAAAAGCAAGGCGAGAAAGAGCGGGCCACAATCAGCATCCCCCCCGAGCTCGGGGTAGCTCAAGGGTAGTGGAGGGCGGGCAAAAGCCGATTCAACCATGAAAGCAGTCGATCGTGCAAATAATTCGGGTTCCCTTGATCCAAAGCGGCCACACGCCGACCTTAAGTGGAACCCTCTAAAAACACAGGTGAAAACACCAAGCGTGCTTCCCACAGCTTGCGCTGCTGCCTTACCTCATATGTTGTTCTTTTTGGGTTTGAGGGTTCAATTGATGAATTATGGGAGCTTGCCCGCTCAGGCTTGCCGATATTACATTCTTGAAGTAGGGCGAAGATGGGCCCAAGTGGCCTCCTCATTGTTAGCCCCCTTTTTTGATCCGTGCGGCCAATCGCGATCACGCAGGTCCGCTGTTCCAGCGTCGAAAGACAGCATAAAAAGACTAAGAGGAAACCCGCAACAAACAAAACAAACCAAAAAACAGGAAAGGACGGGAAACTGCAAAACAAACAACGGCGAGTTCCTCCGCAGAAACCTCCAAAAGCAGGGGGGGCTCACGCAGAGCGATAGAAAACACGAAAACACCACGCCAACAGAAAATCGGCGGAGAATTCGCGAACACAAAACACACCAAAACAAGACAGACAAGCAAACAAAAAAATCAGCATAACCTTGCACTTTGTGTCTGACCTTTCGCCCAAAGAACAGTTAGAATCTTGATCACTGCTTCAAGCCTACAGGGACATGCAGG